TTATAAACTTCTTCCTTTTTCCACCTGGCCTATCTCAGAAAACCTCGTTTAGCGACCGATAATCTTTGGACAGAGTTTGATATGATTGTTTGTATCCTTGCTTTGCAGTTGTGGTTCTGGCGTTCTTCGTAATAAATTTATCTCTATTGGGCTAAATCACACACTAAGCAAAGTGGATTCATACTAACGCACGATAGTTTTATGGTATCGCAATACAAATTGTCTTAACAGAGAAGAGAATGATTTGTTAACTGAGACCGAAAGCTGGAGGTTGTAATCCTGAAGTGCCGCGGCATAGAGTGAAACGCGAGTTTTCCCTCGCGCTATAGGGGTGGTGGGTGTGCGACCCCACTGAAACTAAATAATGTCTCTCTGTTGTGTCGCTCCTTCTGTGGATGATATTTCTGTCTGCTTGAAATTTAGAGTACTCCTTACCGACAACATTTACTGGTCAGTAGGAGTTTAACTATATGTTACGAAATTATTTATTTCTTACTCATTTCAATTTATCCTTGAAAAAAACTAAAACTATATTTTAAAATAGAGCACTTACCATCTACCTTTTTTAGGACTAATACGGACTGGCGAACCACATAAATTCCGTATATCTTCGACCGACACCACTTCTATAGAGATCCCTGCTCATGGCTTAACGAGATAACTATTATTGTAAATTAAGAATCCCACGAGCAAACGGGGTAGCTGCACATAGGGAAATAGAAAGTTCAAAATTTTCATACCTTGATATAACGAACTTTCATAAATTCTTCATCTGTTATTTTTGTTTATTTATTTTCGGTATTCATTTATCACTTTCTCTTGGGAGAAATCATTTTTATAATCGGCAAAACATGCCGATGATACATTTCAAGTACTGGCTGATAGACTCAGACCACGAGATGAAAGTTCGATTGCGTCAGAAATTACTGCGAATGAGTACATTGACACTAACAAATAACTTCTTACATATAAGGCATTAGCAATAAGCGACGACAAAACTTTATTAAGAGACCCAGATGGAGAAGCAGAAAAAGACAAGTAAGAATGTGAAGTAATTGAAGACATTGTTCAGGCACCAACTAGGAGCAAAGTGATACCAGCTTTGCCAATCTCTTGGTCCCAAGTTATAAAAGGAACATTAAGATTTTCATTTTCAATGACCAGCCAGTTGTATTATTTGAATTCAGATTGGTTTTTTTGAGTTAAATGGTACATGTATGGCTGTACATGTGCACAGAGGTTGGAGATAGCCTAAACAAGCCCACCACAGGTTTTTTAGGCGTGAACTGCGAAAGGACCCCCAAAAAACATTATCTCTCGGTTTAACAAACTCCCGATATACGACCTATTTTCTGGTTCCCTTCAGAGTTCGTTATATTGGGATTCCACTGTAGATACAACCCCATGGCACATGTAAGGCTTTGTTTATTTAAACAGGCTTATTGATCTTTAAGCTTTAAATGATTTGACCCAGATTACACTGTGGTTTACGAGTGTATCTTGCAAGTGCGATCAGTAAAATCCCGTTTTCTCAGGACTCACAATTCCTCTATATACAGTTTACTTTATGTGCATTTTTCTAATCTGTATGCAAATACAAAACTCTTTAGAAACTTTTACTAATAAAATGTGGCCAAAAATGTTCCAAAATTAAGAGACTTTGAATTGTGAGGATTTAGCTACTGTAGCTTTCTTACAAAATATAAACGTGCAATTAACCATTTAATTCGTTCTTACACTAATCAACAGATAAGTTTTCTTTATGGTGAAAACACAGTTAAAATTCTTAAATTTTGAGAACGAGATTGTCAGGAGAAGCAGACCAGAAGGGTTTATAAACTGCAGGATTACATAATAATTAACCTACCTTATTGTTAATGTTTTTCTCTTTAATATGTTGGGTTTGACGTTAATAAAACTTGTTTGATAAAATGTATTGATTGGACCAGCCTTGCTTATGTTTTCTTATGATAAAGTTATGTAGTCTAGTCCATATACAGCTGACTGTATTATTAAGTACTTTGGTGCAATAGCACACCATTGCACGCCTTGGCACCACAAGGAGTGCGATTCATTGCACCCCTGCCATTTTATTCCCAGCATGGCCTGTTATTAGTTGCCAAATTTTTTGCCTTCTGTTCTTCACCTTTTTTGAAGATGGATTAATTGATGTAATAATATGTATATATATATGTAATAGAATGTATTCAGGTAACTGTTGTGTTTTTCACCTCAACAGTCATATAAGAATATAAATAAACTGTTTGCTACAAATTTTCCATATCAAAATTTTCAACATCCAACTACAAAAACAACTCAAAGAACAATGCTATTAAAATTGTACATTCAGTCATAGAAATTGTGTTCAATCAAGCATTGTGATTAACACCTTTAAATAAAAGGGTCTTTTCTAAAACTGCAACAGTATATAACTAGTTGAATGTATTGAAATGAAAATCATTATCTTGTTTTAGCATTATCAAAAATCTAACCACTTGTTTTTATGTTTGTAGAGATGACAAAAATAAAGCAAGTTGAAAGGACTGCAAATATAGCATGGAGCCCAGCAAAGCAACATCCAATTTATTTGGCTGCTGGTACTGCTGCTCAACAGTTAGATGCTACCTTCAGGTACAAAACCCTTTTTCTTTATTTTCAACTTTTTATCATTTCATTATCCATTACAAGTTGGTTCTGAATTTCTTCACAACTGTTTTAACGTATGCTACTTTAACATAATAGCTGTCCTATCAAAGTAGATATCAAATTGTTCTATGAAGAATTATCCATTCAAGCTAGATTAATCCCAACATGTTCCTAAATGTTTGATTCTGAGCTCAAGACAAGCAGTATATCCTGTCTTATTGAACTACCTTGCTCGGTTCTAATTCCTTTCGATTCATATATTCTGGTTAACACTTGTCAGTTTTGTTATATATAAATCAATTATTGATCATTTTTTATTGTGGTTAGTTTTGTTTGAAAGCAAATGCAATTAACTTAAAAAACAATCAGATTAACAATGAAAAAAGTGGTGTCATTTATAGTTGAAAACTAATCTTTTTTTATTGGTAGAAATATATGATATTTGCTATGATTCTTTATATTTGTTAGGTTTGACTGCATTTACAAGGTCTCTTTTTATGCAAGCTTTTTGTTTTTAGCACTACTGCTGCCTTGGAAATTTTTCATGTGGATTTTGCCAACAGTGATGTGGAGATGTCAGTTGCTGGCTCTCTCCAATGTAGCCAAAGGTAATTTTATTTTGTGTAATCTTTTTGATGATCTAGATTTCAACAGCTATGATTTTTTTCTCTTTATAAATTGATTTCTATCTAGGATAAGATGTTTGATGTTTGGTGATGAACAAATTTCAATGTAATTAAAGCAATATAATGTGTAAATTAATTAAAAAACTGTCAACTGAATGCAATTTGCATAAAAGCAACAAGCATACCAAAACATAACAATATAAGAAATATAAGAATATGTATCTTTTTTACACCTCAGCCTTTTTTTCAGGAAAATATGGCAGTAAAACATCTTTTCTCACAATGATTAGCAACCTGATCCATTATGTAGGTTTCCTGATGATCTCACTGAGCACAAAACTCAAAAATCAACTTTGAACAATTCTATTCTATACACCAAATAGCCTGCCCAGTTCTATATCAAGCACTTTATGATAGACTGGTAAACAGTAATTTTCATGTCACTCATCTAGGCAATTTGAAGAGCATACCAAACAATTTTTCTGTGACAATACGCTTAATTGTCTTTTATGTGTTTCCAGGCTTCACAAAGTTATCTGGGGCAGCCATGGGATTCAATCAAATGAGCATGAATCTGGAATAATTATTGGTGGCACTGACAATGGACATATATATGTTTATGATGCAGCAAAGATAATTGCTGGGGAAGACGATAATGCCCTTATTTATCAGTTGGATAAGCACACAGGTCCTGTCCAAGCATTAGATCTAAACAATTTTCAAGAGAACTTGCTCGCTTCAGGTAAATGACAATGTTTTATATTTTCCCATAAATAAGGGGATTCTTTCATTTTATCAAACTAATATGCATTTACTAAGTTATACATTGTTTTACTATATTCAAACCATTAACTGATTTTTTGCACCTCACTTTCCTATTTGTATAAGCTCCTAAACATATCTTAGATGGAAACTATTAGTGGAAAGTTACTAATATTTTTGAAGTTTTTCAAGTATTAAAAATGTATTGATGATTTGGTATACTTTATCTTTAGAATGCTATTTTAAAACATATTAAATTTTTCTTAAGTCTGTTTTTGTTGGTTGGTGATGCAGATAAATAGCTTTCATGATAGAATATCTCCTTTTTGGTTGGAAAAGAAATATAAGCTGAGACATTTAAGGTTTTAGTTTCAAAGTTTGACATTGCCTATAAGTTAAATTTAGAATTCATTTAAATTCAACCAGGTGCTAATGACTCTGAAATATACATTTGGGATTTGAAGAAACCAGAAAGCCCTCTTACACCAGGGGCAAAGAGCACACCTTTAGATAACATTAGCTGCGTACACTGGAACAAACAGGTGCAGCACATAATGGCATCATCGTCTCCATCTGGACGAGTGGTAGTATGGGATTTGAGGAAAAGCGAGCCAATTATTAAGGTTGGGGATACTTCAGCCATGTTGCATTGTAAATCGATGGCTTGGCATCCAGAAGTTGCAACTCAAATGGTCATTGGAAATGAGGATGATAGGTATCCTGTTATACAGGTCAGTCTTTTATTGGGCATTTTCAACAGTCATGTGTTTCTGATTGGCCTATTTCGATCCACAACTGGGTATATATATTTTCTAGCTTAGTGTTCTGATCTATGTTCAGACATTTTATACTCTGAAAAGCGTTAGACGAAAAGCTTCAGTATGACTCAAAATTTTTGCTTTTTTCAAAGCCATCTTTTATTGACATTGTACCAAGTGATTCATATTCATCACAAACTAGACATCAAATAAAGTAATTTAACAAATGAAGTAATTTAGTGAAAATCGCATCATTTATCTAGTATCCATATGCATCCACTTTTTTCAAGAGAGAGCAATTAGAAAAAGGTGGGATAGATTCCCAAGAGTTTTTAGTCCCGCCCTTACATAACATACTTAAATACTGGCTATGAAAACAAGTTTATGTCAAGTTTAGAGCAGCACTGTTCATCATTTGTGTTGGAGTTTTTTGAAAAATATATTTGGTAGATAAAATTATCTTAACATTTCTAAAACTACTTTTATACTGTTCCAGAAGAATGTCTTACAGACCAGTCTATTGTTTCTAATTGGTTGCTTAACATATTCTTGAATTATCCTTGTATTCACAAAGGCAATGAATTAGGCCAACAATTGAAGCTACTCCTATTTTTTTTGCAGCTTTGGGATTTAAGGTTTGCTACTTCACCAATGAAAGTCATGGAAGGGCATCAAAGGTGAGATATTTTGACATGGTTATTTTTAAAGCCCTTTACAAAGAATCTGTATTCTGTATCATTTAAAGCTTTTTGAGTTCTGATAGAATATGGTATTTGATAGTTATAAAAAATGGTTAGTTAAGGCAAGCAAAATTGGGAGACCAGCCATATGTTGTAGGTAAGTTGCTCTGCAGCAGTATAGAATCAGTTAAAAGACTCTTAAGTATCTAGATTTTAGCGGTTGTACTGATAAAGGTCTCTATATTTAGTCACAAGGGCATAGGCAATTTTTGATATTATTGCGCTGAATTTTGTCTTTTTGGATTTTTCGGCAAAGATGACTGAACTTTCTCACTGGCTGTGATATTCCTGTGACCGGTCTTTTGTTTGTTTTTTGTAGAGGTATTCTTTCACTAGATTGGTGTCCGCAAGACCCAGACCTCTTGATGAGCTGTGCAAAGGTTTGTATTAAGCATTTTGAAAATCGATAGATACTGTATCTGCTCCGATGAAATTCAGCATACAATTCATTATCATGTTGAGAATGTTTTTCTTCTTTTCTTACTATGTTCTTTACCATTTTGGAAAGGTATGTAAAATGCTTTTAAGGAATATCTGTTTTCCTTATATTTTTAACAAATCTTTGGATTTTATTTTTAGGACAACCGTATCCTTTGTTGGAACCCAAACACCAGTGCACAAAATGGAGAGGTTTGTTTTGTTCATAGCAAGCATTAAATATTTTCTGATTGTTAAGCATTTGGAAATTTTATATAAGTATAAAGCTTACCTTTATAAAAGTATAAAAACATCTATCAATTTCGTTTGTTCAAAATTCCTTTATTTCTAATTGCACTTTATATTGAATATCATCTAAATTATTTTAAGGATTTTTACTTGTAAGGAATCGACATAAAGGTTAAGCCATTTATCAATAAACTATTAGCCAATCAAGAGGCGCAATAACCCTCAAGCGCTTGTTAATTAGCCAATAGTTGTTCAAGAGATAGCTTCAACCATTTAAATATCTGTAGACTCCCATTAAAGGGCATATGTCGCATTAACAGTTAACTAATAAAACAAAATCGTTTGGAATGGAATTTCATTGTTTCGTGACTTTTCATTTCTTTGTACTAAATAAAATAGATAATTGTATTGCATTAGCCAATCATGTTCACGACATATGCCCTTTTATTTACAGTATCAAAGACATGTAATTTGAAACTGAATTTTGTTTAATTTTCTTAAATGCTTCGATGTAACATTGAAAACGTATTGATAGGCGCTTAGCTATCGTTCTGTTTCACCATAACCTCTGCACCATAAACAATCATGCATAATTTTTACTGTTATGCCCATACTTTTATCATTCCACGCCTACTTATACCGCTATAACATTGACATGGTATTTTTCCACATTTCATAGCCAGTAAAGAATTTTGCTCACATATCTCTTCTTGCAGATAATATATGAATTACCAACGACATCACAGTGGTGTTTTGAAGTCAGTTGGTGTCCAAGAAATCCAGGTGTGATCTCAACTGCATCGTTTGATGGTCATGTTACCGTCAGTTCTGTTATGGGAAGCGGCGCAGCCTCATCAAACGTTCCAGACAAGGTAGCTACAAATCAAGGCTTTCCCCTTTGTTTTTAAAGGCGCTTTCTGATATACTTACCGAAAGTAAAAGAAAGTTTATCTTATTTTGAATTCAACATTCCTAGTTAACTCCAAACCTATTTATTTTGAAAGGTATTAGGCTCTGGAAATACACTAAGTGAAAACGTGAAACACTAAGAAGTATTAAGTGAAATAAAAATTGGTTTGTATCACAGTAGGCCCTCTTTCCTGTAAATGAAATGATGTTATTGTTGTAGGTTGCTAGTTCATTTGGTGGGGATGCATTTGCAGGCCAAGCTCAAGTAGCAAGTCAACAACCAGCTGCTGAACCTTTAAAGAAGCCACCGAGGTGGATGAGAAGGCCCTGCGGTGCAAATTTTGCCGTGAGTTCATGGTCCATTTGTTTTCAAATCTTCATTATTTGTCGTGACTTACTACAAGGCGTAATAGGGTCCACAGTGAAGTTTATTTTCTTCTCTTTCGTGGGAAGGTACTGTCTTAGGCCTTTTGTACTTAACATTTTCTTATTTTCAAATTTTCAGGTTATTATTTTTCTTATAAAATAGAATAGTTAGATTTATCCCACCCTCCATGAGACAGATTTGATGAATGTAAATAATATATGAATGAAATTATCATAAGCACAATAAAAGGATGAAATTTTTTTGCAGTTCGATTGAATATCACCCTTCGAGTGTCATTTTCTGAAGCTAATT